GGAGCCTGATGCCTTGTTCTGGTGACAGTCGGCCGGCTTGCGGCAGGCGCCCCCCGCCATCTATGCGCCCGGGGCGAACGACCCCCCCGGTTGTTACGCCACTGCAGGTGACCACTATAGGCAGCACTCCCCAATCTGTTTCTTCAGGTACTTATAGCAGAAGGGTAGGCTAGACTTTGCTCATCCATGCATAGCTGTGATCAGTGGCTGAGAAGCCAATGATCACAGGCATTCATAAAAAAAAGTAACAGCCGCACCCCTTCCTTGGTTCTCCGCTGCTCTGCAGTGTGTATCCTGACTGTCATCAGATCCTCCCTGCTGTGTGCCTGCACTCAGATCCCCTCCATGAACTCTCCACACCACTCTGTCTCCATGTGCCCTCTGATTCCCGCTGCTCTCCCCAGTCTCTACCAGCAGTAGGCGGGTTGTAACGAGAATGAGATTTTGGCCACACATCAGGGAGGATTGGATCTCTTCAGGAAAACAAGTGGAGAGATTGGTGAACATTGAGTCATGCATGTTAACTTGTGTTGGTCCACTGTATTGTTAGAAACTGTTATGGATGGTGTAATAAAGATGTTCTTAACTTGTTGGATGCAATTATATAGGTTATACATCTAGGCTGCGAAAATCTATCAAAGGTTTATCAGGTAAAATGATACACTATATTGCCAAAAGTATTGGGACGCCGGCCTTTACATGCACATGAACTTTAATGGCATCCCAGTCTTAGTCCGTAGGGTTCAGTATTGGGTTGGCTCCGCCCTTTGCAGCTATAACAGCTTCAACTCTTCTGGGAAGGCGTCCACAAGGTTTAGGAGTGTGTCTATGGGAATGTTTGACTTTTGTGAGGTCAGGTACTGATGTTGGACAAGGATGCCTGACTCGCAGTCTCCGCTCTAATTCATCCCAAAGGTGTTCTATCAGGTTGAGGTCAGGACTCTTGACTGGCCTGCACTTGACTGTGCAGGCCAGTCAAGTTTCTTCACCCTAAACTCGCTCATCCATGTCTTTATGGACCTTGCTTGTCCAAAATGTCTTGGTATGCTGATGCCTTAAGAGTTCCCTTCACTGGAACTAAGGGGCCAAGCCCAACCCCTGCAAAAACAACCCCCCACCATAATCCCCCCTCCACCAAACTTTACACTCGGCACAATGCAGTCAGGCAAGTACCGTTCTCCTGGCAACCGGCAAACCCAGACATGTCCATCGGATTGCCAGGCAGAGAAGCGTGATTGGTCACTCCAGAGAACACGTCTCCACTTCTCCATGAGTCCAGTGGCGGCGTGCTTTACACTACGTCATACGACGCTTTGCATTGCACTTGGTGATGTAAGGCTTGGATGCAGCTGCTCGGCCATGGAAACTCATGCAACTTAAAAGGTTAGCTTCCTGATTGGCCAGTTTCCCGACCAATCAGGAAGCCGGGCAGCGCGTCATTACACGCTGCCCGGCTTCCTGATTGGCCCGGGAAGTCGGCTCCATGTTCTCTCGTCAGGAGTGATGAGGGAGCATGGAGCCGGCTTCCTCCGGTGCAAAACACAGGAGAGAAGCTGATGAAGCAGATCTCTGCTTCATCAGCTTCTCTGGGGGTCCCTAGGTGACATCAGGGGTCTTGGGGACCCCTGATGTCTCCATAAAGAGGACCTGTTTGGTGAATTGGCTATCACATAGGGGATTTCTTAGTCCCCTATGTCATAGCAATAAAGTTAAAGTGACATTAAAGGCAAAAACATTTTTCCCTCCCCCCAATGTTAATGTTAGCACTTACCTTAAATGATGTCTCTTATTCCGATCTTCTTTCCATCTAGTGGCCATTATATGGTATTTTCCTGATATTACATTAATTATTGCCACCATTTGCATAGATGGCAGTTTTGCATTATAAATGGCTCTGCACATTTTTTTAAATAAAAACTCCCCTTACTTTTTTAGTTTGCTAATACACTGTCTATAATAAACAAGCCATGCTTTTTTTCCATTCTTTCACTTTTTTCTTCCTTTCTCAATTCTGCTGATTCCTGCAGCAATTTCCTATCTACATGCACTTGCTGTAGCATTGATTGCATAGATTGAGAGCACATAATTGCTCTGGACAACAGTAGACTATGCCTGCTTAATGTGTCAGCATGGCCCTCTTATTGTCTTTATTGGGGGCGCATGCGGCAAGGTAACATTTTGGAAGCACAATTGGCATAAAGCTGTTCCCTCATAACAGGAATTCATGGCAGGATCACCAGGTATTGTTTTAATGGAAGCTGCAGAGTGAAAAAGATTGAAGACAACTTTTGAAATTACATGAAGACATGAAAGCATACAGGAGATTGTAGTGATTGGGTTTAGATCTACTTTATGGAAGCCATTGTCTACCATTGGAAGCCCATATACTGTATATTATAGATATTATCCAGCTCCTACATCCTTCTCCCGTATGCCATCTACAGAACACCCTTCTGATCCAATTGCCTGGGGCAAAGTTGGAACAAATGATACTTGTGAGGATTATCTATCTGCTTCGGAGGAAGTCAAAAAGTTTCCAATTCTTCCAGTTTCCTCCCAGGTGTTCAAACTTTACACGTCACTGTTTACTCGAATAAACAATTCTTCCAAAATTGTAATTAAAAGATTATGGCTTTGGCCAAGAATTGTTCATATTCTGGCATATCGGGCCACTCAGAAATATATAAATACCGTGGATATCCACCACACAAATCAACCTGCAACGGAGTGACAAGACTTGTCTATCAACTCATCAACCGACAAATCTGAATCCTGGTCTCCATCACCATGAAGCTCATCCTTGTCTTCCTAATCTTCGGCAGTGTGATCGCTGCAGGTGAGAATTATTGAGAACAGGATTTTTTTTATTGACCTTATAGTAACTTTACCTGTCCTCATGAATGAAATTCTGACAGGTCACACCGAATAGCAATAGTACATTTTATTATTTAAAAGCAGTCTGGGAACTCCAAACAAGTCACGTTTGCCTAGACTGGTGGCGTCAACATTGAGAGAGTAGTAGATCACCAGCACCATAGTGAAATTTGGTCACTATGTTGCCCTGATGAAGGGACCCTGTGTGGCCCCAAAACGTTAGCTATTAGTGACCAAGTAATGATCCTGTTATTTCCAAAGTCAGCCCATAGTGATCCAATTGACAAACCAGGAAGACTCATATAGGGCTTAGGGGCTTAGTCTTGTAGCACTAGGGGTCTCTGGTTCAAACCCAACTAGAACACTATCTGCAAGGAGCTTGCAGATATGTTAACTGTCTTTTGTCTAAACCAGCCCATGTGTATACATGTGAGATAGGACCTTTGAGTGTAAGCTCCTTTAGGGCAGGGACTAATGGGAATGTGTGTTCTGTAGGGCACTGGGTAAATTGTTGATGCTATACGAATACCTGCAATAAATAGGTGACTTTTCAGCTAAATCCAATTATATGTGAAAATTGCAGTCACATTGCAGGAAATGGCATGCACAAGGCTTGTGTAAAGCTTTGTGAATTGGGCCTAATGTCAAGCGATTGCAGTCCTATATTCACAGTGATGGCCTCTAAATCTTTTCAGAGAAAACTACGATTCATCTCTTTGATCATTTCATCCTTTCCTCCCAGAACTTAAAAACCCACCTCTGTGCCAAATACCTCCAAGCCAGCAATCCGGACATGGATGGACCATTGAATGCATTTGATCTTCAAATTGTTTAGGGGCCATCATATCTGGCGAGTGGTTTGGTGTACTGTAGCCAGATATAATATAACGATAAGGCTTAGGCGGTATTTTAATTTAAACTGATCTCGCTAAATGCTAGAGCTCAATTTAAAGTCTATGTACAGCCAAAAAACTTTCTTTATACATTTTGAATGGAGTAGGGAATGGTTAGGGGCCCATTTAAACCTGTCTGGTCTGGTGTGTTGCGTTACGTGTGTTAAGGCTGTGCATTGATTTTGAATGGGCTGCTAATGCATCGAAGTGGAAATTAAACCATACCTGCACCAATTTTTTCTGACGCAGCACGCCGCAATGTGTGGTATAGTGCAATCTACATACAGTGCATTTTGCATAACCTTTCTTGTAGCACTGGGGGTCTCTGTTTCAAACCCAGCTAGAACACTATCTGCAAGGAGTTTGCAGATATGTTAACTGTCTACTGTCTAAACCAGCCCATGTGTATACATGTGAGATAGGACCATTGAGTGTAAGCTCCTTTAGGGCAGGGAATGATGGGAATGTGTGTTCTGTAGGGCACTGGGTAAATTGTTGATGCTATACGAATACCTGCAATAAATAAGTGACAGTTATTTTCAGCTGAGTCCAATGATATGTGAAAATTGCAGTCACATTGCAGGAAATAGCATGCCTAAAGGTGCCCATACACCTGCCGATTATCGAACGATAATTGCGGGAAATCCCGCAATCGCACAATAATCGGCAGGTGTATGGAAGGCATGCGACCGTTTCTACTGTACGGTCACACGTCTTTTGTCTCCCGTGCAGGCTTGAAAACCCGCCGAGAATCGTACGATTGTCGGCGGGTTAGTGCCGCTCTCGGGAGACAAATGCCAAATGGGCCAGTGTGCAAAAAGCTTTCGATGATCGCAAGTATGATCTGCCTGTCCAAGATGGGCAGATCGTTACAAGCTTTTAATTAGCTTACAACCATTGCAAGACAAAAGTCTTGCGATGGTTGTAAGGTGTATGGGTACCTTATGGCTTGTGTAAAGCTTTATCTCTTGGAATAGATAGATAGATAGATAGATAGATAGATAGATAGATAGATAGATAGATAGATAGATAGATCAAGGTATATTGGAATTCTGATCTTCTCATAAGAGGTGGTTTCTGCTGTGAATTTCCAGGTTTGCCTGGAACAATCTAACACGGGGGGGTGTTTTGTGTTTTAGGCAGTGCTCGGAGCTGCGTCACTTGTAAAGTCCTCGGCGATGGAGTGAACAACTGTCTGGGTGATGTACAACAGTGTGAAAATGAAGATGATTTTTGTGCAACCCAAATTGAATACAACATATTACGTAAGACTGGAAAAACAAATCTAAATATATTGTATTTTCATCTATGCCCATAGCCCTCAGCTTGTGAAGTAAGCGCTTGTGTGGTACCGTATCAAATGCCTTTGAGAAATCCAGGTATACCACATCTACCGGCTTCCCTCCATCCATATCTCTGCTTACCCCCTCATAAAAAGTTAGCAAGTTAGTCAGGTAGGGGCGGTCTTTCCTGAACCCATGCTGATTGTCATTAACAAATTTTACCAAATAGTCCTTAATTATACCTTCTAACAGTTTACAAACTACCGATTTTAGACTGACCGGCCTATAGTTCCCTGGTTGGCATCTAGCCCCCTTTTTGAATATTGGAACTACCGTAGCCCTCCGCCAATCACATGGTACTCGAATCACATGGTACTGTATATTAGAGAACATTAAATGGAGGCATAAAAGTCCAGAAAATTCCTGGAGCCATGGTTGCCACCCAGACTTCAAACTTAATCTACCTCCCTTCATCTCTTTGACATGTGGGGTGACAGGAGTTCAAGCTAATAATATGTAATATTTTGCAATTACTTGACACAATTCTCTCTCTCTTTCTCTCTCTCTCTCTCTCTCTCTTCTCCCTCTCTCTCTCTCTCTCTGCTCCCTCTCTCTCTCTCCTCCCTCTCTCCCTCTCTCTCTCTTCCCTCTCTCTCTCTCTCTCCTCTCTCTCTCTCTCTCCTCCCCCT